AATGCAAAACAATTTTATGCCTCCAGTACTTCACTGAATTTCCCAGTTCTCAGAAAGGAATCCACTGCCTTCCCACTGCAGTCGCTGCATCCCAAGCCATGATACCCTGCATTTCTGCTGTCAGTGTCTAAGCACCAGAAAAGGATCAGATACTTCTCTGTCCCCTGATGCACAATGATCCTGAAAATAAAGCCAGGGTTTTTTTCTAGGTACCTAAATATAAATTTATGAGATTAGAAATATACACATGGGTTATATATTCAGTTAGACACATACTTCAAGGTTGTTTGACCTGTTAAAAATTTTCCTACATGTTAACTTTTAGCTGAATTGTGTGACTGGGATCTTGGCTGGAGACAATTTTAGAAGATGTTACTGCAGCATTTCCATATTTAATGATTACAGGAACTAGGGAATATCCAGATGTGCAGAGGAATGACTTAAATGGCCCATGACTGACTAGTTCTCCAACAGAAGGCTTGTGTGAAACCACTCACAGCCAGCTGCTTCTGTTTCCACACTGGCTATTTGGAAATCTTTCACTGACTTCCTATGCTGCCCAATCTACTAAACACATAGTAGTCTTTCAAAGACAATAAGGACAGTCTCTGCATATATAGGACGCATTTTTAATACTCACCGACTACTACCTATACCTTTTTTGAAAGGTCAGTCTCACACTCATACAGTGAAAAACAAACCCCAAGAAAACACTTAAATCCCCTATTGAAACCAGCAGAAAACTTGCCTGTAGACAACTACACACTCAGCCCTTAACAAGGTACAGATCTTCACCAGGCTTATTTATTTACCAGAAAAAAAGCAGCAAAAAGTAATAATACTTATTTCTGGGTTTTGTTACTTTGCACAGTTCTGGGCTGTAACCCAGACTGTGAGACTAACATTTCGTATTTGCTTTACAAATCTTGCCACAAAACATGACTTTTTTATTACTTAAGACCTTCTGAGACTAGACAGGTTGTCCTTTTATCACTTGTTCAGCAACACTGACTACAATCAATGTCTCAAGACGTGACCCCATAAA